ACATTGCCCTCAGTGACAGAGAAATTGTCAGAAAGTGGCACAAAACCCTAAATAAAATACTAACATAGTCAAAACGACAATGTATATTTAAAAACACTGAGCAAGTGGAGTTAATTACTTAAATGTACACAGGTGTTTCATTAGGAAATTTATCAGTGTAGATGAAAATATTAAATCTTGGGGCGCCTGGGTGGCTTAGTCGGTTAAGCGTCCAACTTTCACTTAGGTCATGATCTCGCGGTTCATCGGTTCAAGCCCTGCGATGGGCTCTGTGCTGACTGCCAGCTCAGAGCCTGGAGCCTGTTTCAGTCTGTGACTCCCTCTCTCTCTGACCCTCCCCTGCTCATGCTGTCTCTCTCTCTCTCTCCTAGAGATAAATAAAACATTAAAAAAAAAAAAAGAAAGAAAATATTAAATCTTAATATGATAGGGGTGCCTGGGTGGCTCAGTTGGTTAAGCGTCCAACTTCAGCTCAGGTCATGATCTCACGGTTCATGGGTTTGAGCCCCGCATCAGGCTCTGTGCTGACAGCTCAGAGCCTGGAGCCTGCTTCAGATTCTGTGTATCTCTCTCTCTGCCCCTCCCTGCCTCAACCTCTGTCTCTCTCGGTCTCAAAAATAAATAAACATTAAAAAAAATTTTTAATAAAATAAAAATAAATCTTAATATGATAATCTCAACAGAAGCAAATAAATGAATAATTTGATAAAATGTAACATCTTTCACAATACAAGCTCTTAGCAAATACAGAAAAGAACATTTTCAAACCAATAAAAAGCTATCTACCAAGAACCTGGGATAAACTGACACACAATGGTGAGGAGAAAAAAAAAAAAAAAAAAATCAGCAACTAGAGAAAGACGCCTATTGTAAATACTTCTGCCCAAATTATACTGAACATATTCATGAGTCTAACAGATAATGAAAACTATACAGATGAAGGAAGAAAAGAGCCATTATTTATTTATAGCTGAAATATGTGTCTACACAGAAAACCCAATAAAATCCAAGAAAATGGATTAGAAATAAGAATACTCATCAAGGTTGAGGGGTCAAAAAGATACAAAAATCAACAGCATTCCCATGTAACAGCAACAAACAATTAAAAGTTTTTAAAGAGCTACCAGTTACAGGAAATCAGAAGTCAAATACCACCTCCGCACCGTGCCTATCCCCAGGTAACCAGGGGACCCAACAAGGCGGGAGGCCGCCAGACATCACACCTCCAGATGGGGTACGAGGGAGGTACTCTCCCCGAAATGCTAAAGTGGAATCCTCTGCGGAAACAATGGGACAAACCAGCTTCACAATAAGCGAACACCAAAAGCAAGGGATTATTCCAGATCGCAGTTTTCGAGCTGTCTGGCCTTCGAAGCCCTCAACTCTTTTTTTTTTTTTTTTATATTTTTTTTTTTTTTATTTTTAGGAGAGAGGGAGAGAGAGAGAGAGAGAGAGAGCGTGAGCAGGGGAGGGTCAGAGAGAGAGAGGGAAACGCAGACTCTGAAACAGGCTCCAGGCTCCGAGCTGGCAGTCAGCACAGAGCCCGACGCGGGGCTCGAACACACGAACCGCGAGATCATGACCTAAGCGAAAGTCGGACGCTTAACCGACTAAGCCACCCAGGCGCCCCCGAAGCCCTCAACTCTTAAAAATGACAGAGGACACCAAAGACCTTTTATGTATAGGAGTTCCACCAAGTGATATTTACGAAGTTTGAAATTAAAACAATACTGTAAAAAAATATTTCTCATTGATTCATTTAAACAAAAACATTAACATCAATAAAATACTGCTTGAAAAATAATTACATTTCCTAGGACAAAAGCATTCAGTGTAGAGTGGCCCTTGTTTATGGTCTTGGCAGATTTCTTCACGTCTAGCTTATGAGACGGTGTGGCAACATGTTGCTCTGGAACATTCTCCCTGGAAAGTTCTAGTCTTTGCAGCTGTGCGGCTGGGTGGGAGCAGGAAGTTCACAGGACAGGGCAGCAGAGCTCGATGCAGACCTGCGGCTCCCATGGCCTTGGCCCTGGCAGCTGCTGGGGGTCAGGTGACACTAGCGGATCAGCCCCGGCGGGGACGCTATGGAGGTTTTCTTTTTCCTTACTTTTCACTCTGCTCTGCATCACCCAAGTTTCCTATCGTGCATAAACAACTATTACTTTTATAATGTTTTTCATGTTTCAGTCAAATTGTCTTTTTCCCCCAAAACTTGGTAATATTCCTTTAGATTTCTGTGTCTAAAGGGATCATCTTCAGGATGAGCTTTACAGAAAATACAATTCTAAGTTCACTGGCTTCAGTGAGGAGAAAAACACACCCAGAAAAACAGAGGGCAGGATCCGCGCGTGGGAAACAGTGGTCTGGATCAAATGTGACCCCAGAGCATGTCCCCTCTCCCAATACATGGAGAGTTGAAAGAGCAAATATCGGACTGTCGCTCCATGGAGAAAGTAGAGGGGGGCATACGGGAGGTGAGGACGGAGGGGTCGGATCACCCAGGGCCCCCAGACAAGGGGCAGCACGACGAACCGCAAGCTTGCTCGCAGTCGCGGCACCTGAAGGAGAAGCTGTCGCGCTGTGTCCCTCACTTCACGTCAGAGAGCCCAGGCTGAATGGCAGACTCCGAACTGGAAAAGCAAAGTCTTGAATCCTGTTCCTGATTTAGTCACCAAGTGATTAACAACAGAGAGCTTCGACTGCCTGTTATTAACATGGGAAAAGCAACACTCACCTTGCCTTCCTTCAAAAAGGGATTATCAGATGTCAGGAATGCCAAAAAGGTGGGGTCCCAGATTCTGGCAGTGTCACCCTATTAGCAGATGGCTCTTAGAGGAACTAAAATTGCTTAGACAACAGGCATATGGCTTGAATTACTGCACACCATTCACCGAGCCAGGGGAAAAGGCGGAGAAACTGGTCTGGGGAAGAGCGTGAATTTGGTTTGGGGCGCTTCAGGGGATGATGTCGTTTGCCCAAATAATTCAGAGAAAAAGAGGGGATGGAAGCTGATTCTAACTGATGACAGGGACAGAAAAAGGGAAGTAGAGACAACAACGTGGAGAATTATTTCAAGACACGGGGGCAGGAAAGACGGGACACAAACAGCAGAAGAAGTGTGGGTTTGCTTGGTTTGGGACAGGAGAGCTGCTGACAGATGGCGCAGGGAGAAGGGGAAGCAGGAGATGTGGGAGCTGCCGGTGGGCACTGGGCAGTGGGGCCTTTACCGACGAGAGGGGGTACAGAGGGGACCGAATAAGGAGCCCGGGGAAAGACTGCTTGTTTGGCTTCCATAAGAAAGGGAAGGATGAAAAATAAATACGGCCAGAAGTCCCACTGCCCGGAACGAGCAAGGAAAGGAGTCAGACAGGCTGAGGTTTTGGGTCACAGCCAGCCAGCCCTTCCACAAACACAGGCGAGGTAGCACCACGGTGTGCAAACGTGTTCCTTCCTCGCGTGCCTGTGTCTTCTCGGACACCTCAAGTATAAACGTAAGTATATAGTACTAAGTACACTAGCCGAGTGTACTGTACGCGTAGACTCTGAATCGCATTCTTCGCCACAGACAGCAACAACAGAAGATGCTAGTGCGTGTACGTGCGTTTCACCAAGAGGCGGATCACCACTCAAAACCTAGAAAAACCGCTGCACACGTGAGAAAGGGAACAAAACGCAAGGTGGTACGCAGAGGCCTGGCCAGACTGCAATCCACGGGCCAAGGGACGTGGCCACATCTGTATCCTGTGGGGCAAGGGATTCAAAGGCACCCCCTCCTCCCGGGAGGATAACTGGGGCTCGGCTGCTTGAACAAAACCAGGGGCTCGGACAGTGGCCCCCTGTCCTTGAAAAAGGGCTGAAAAGAGCCACCACTGCTGCCCTGAACTACAGTTCGTATCAACAGCATGCTACCCTATGGCTCTGCAAAACCCCCAATGTCATCACAAGGTGGGAGCTCGAGGCCACAGACCCGGTTCTGTAGAGGCTCAGGGGCAGGTGCAGAAATAGGGCAGGAAGAAGTGAGCAGAGAGAGGATACAACCCTCCTCAAGGTGAACATACCAGCTAACACTCGTAAGCATACGAGCCAAGAATGTCAGAAGAGGATTCATGAAGGTGGAAAACACTACGAGAGCTTAACGACGACGGGTTCTCGCTGACTGAGCCGCCACAGGGTCTCATTCACCAAGGAGGGCACCACACCAAGGGGCGCCTGGGGGGCTCCGTCAGTTAGGCGTCTGACTTTGGCTCGGGTCAGTTTGTGGGTTCAGCCCCAGGTCGGGCTCTGAGTGGAGCCTGCTTCCGGTTCTGTGTCTCCCTCTCTCACTCCGCCTCTCTCCCATTCATGCTCTGTCTCTGTCTCTCAAAAATAGATGAACATTAAAAAAAAATTTTTTTTAAAGAGAACCGCACCGAGAAGGAATGGTGCAGGATACAAGAAACGGTGACCTAAAGCAGACGTGACGCCGGCGCCCTTCGCCCACGAACACACGGTCAAGTTTCACAAGCTAGATGCTTCAGCTGTTGGTACAGGTGGCCAACCTGCCAGAGAGCTGCCTGCAGCTCCTTAAAAGAACTCAAAGTCTCGGTCTTAGAGGAACCATTTTATACTTTCCATACCACTAAGTACTTTAAACTAGAAATGAACCTGCAGAGGGCACTCCGTTTTCGGGGTCTCGTCCAGGAGTCGGCAGCATCCCGAGCAAGCAGGGCGCTGCCTCTGGCAGCCCCCTGCCTCCCCGGCCCCGGCATCTTGGCAGCAAGGTTGCCGCAAGCCTGGGGAGCAGGGAGGTGTCTGGCCGAACTTGCCCTCTGCTGCCACTGGGCGTAACTTCACACGGAAGGCAGCAACACTTCAGTGCACGGGGCCACCTTTCTTACTTTACAGTAGCTCTTGGTGAGGCCGCTGCCAGACCACTTCGCAAGCAGCCACATCTGAGCCAATGAGCAAATGCACGTTTACAGCTTTTAGGCAATGGTTAATTTGGCAACATCCAAACTTACCAAATAGGTTCCCATTTCTTTTTCCAGGACAACTTGTTCATACAAAGTAGCATCGATGTCGGCTTTTAGAGCCTGCACCTTCCTCTTCACCTGCACATGGTGCTTCCTTTGAAGCCAGTACGGAAGAAGAGACTCCATGATTTGGTTAAGGATCTGGGACGTAATCAGGAGGGTGGCCAAACTCTACAGAGAAGCACAGAAATGATATCTGACAGAGCAGCTTAGTAAAATCACGGGATGTGTACAATTATGCAATAAATAAAATGGAACCTTCAACAAATAGTATACTGTCAACAAACACTAGTATCAGAAAAGCTAGGTGCTAGAATATGGTTTCAAGTTATTGTTTTTTTCACAGGAAAGACACATTAAAATACAAAAAGTTATAAGATTATAATAAGAGACAAATCAGTTATAAATAAGATTATAAAAAATAATAAGAAAGTTATGAGTTGGCAGGGGAACAATTTAACTCGACATTGTGGTTTTGGTCATCTCATCCTTGCTCCAACATAATAATCTAAATGATACTGCCAACCCTGGAAAAAAAACCCAGTTTGGCTGAACTTAAAAAAATTTATAAAATGAATATATCCTCCTTCACTGTGGTACACTTAGGAAGCAGAAAAAACGTCACCCATAGTTCCATGGCCAGCATGGAGCCTCTGCTGACATCTCAGGATATTTCTTTCCCATCGCATGTAAAACCCAAGTAGCCCATGTACCATTGCTGACTGTAGTATTCCCAACCTTCACTGTTATAAATGCGGCTCCCGGGATACCTGTGTACATGAGCCCTCCCCAGTCTCTGATAACTTACCAAGGATGAATGATGGTTCTTGGCAAGGCTGCCCTAGCAGTTTCTAGAACTTCTGGGTCAATTTCCACTTGCCCCAGATGGGCAGAAGTGTTTCCATCACATCCTACCTTTGCTGGTATTAAAATGGTATTATTTAAAAAGTCCTCCCCTACCCCCTTGCCCTTCATCTCCTGTTAAAAAGGAGACTCTTGGGCTGCCTGGGTGGCTCAGTCGGTTAAGCATCTGACTCTTGACTTTGGCTCAGGTCATGATCTTAGGGTTGGTGGGATCAAGCCCCACATCAGCCTCCGTGCTAACAGTGCAGAGCCTGCTTGGGATTCTCTCTCCACCCCTCCTGTTCGTGCTTGCTCGCGCTATCTCTCTCTCTCTCTCTCTCTCAAAAATGAAAATAAACTTCTAAAAAACAGGAGACTCCCTAAGGTACAAGAAATGAGAAGTCATACCTACTAATGCACTAAGAGCAGGACAGAAGACAGAGTAGGTACATCCAGCATATCAGTTTCATATATGTTATTCTGAACTTCCAATGTCCAAAACTAATTTTTTAAAAGTAGCAATATATCTAATATTGTTCTTAAGAGCACACCATTTAATTTTACCTCGGTACAAGCTGTTGGAACCGTAACTACAAAATCTTTTAATCTTCTCTGATTATGTAATTTCCTGAAAGATGATCCCAACTTCTCATATATACACTATTAAGGCCAGGCTTTCAATATTTTTTACTAATGATCACAGTATATTAAACCTGGGAAGGAACAGCCCTTACTGATAGCTGGCTCAATCTTAAAAAAGAGAATTTAGACAGCAATAATCTGTACTCAATTTATCATTCACTGGCATTTGTGATCCAAGGATGGCAACACACCAGAATAAATATCAGACTTTCTTAAACACTGCAGGAAAGATACAGCATTGCATTGGGGCATCTGGGAGGCTCAGTGGGTTAAGCATCCAACTTCAGCTCAGGTCATGATCTCGTGGTTCATGGGTTTGAGCCCCGCATGGGGGTCTGTGCTGACTGCTAGCTCAGAGCCTAGAGCCTGCTTCAGATTCTGTGTCTCCCTCTCTCTCCGACCCTCCCCCACCTGCTCATACCGGTTGTCTCTCTCTCTCTCTCTCTCACTCTCTCTGTCAGAAAACAAACAAAAAAAAAACATTAAAAAAAAAGATACAGCATTGCATTGGATCTGCTGGTCTCTAAAACTGAACAACTTATAAGGGGCACTTGGGTGGCTTGGGTGGTTAAGCATCCAACTTTCAATTTCGGCTCAGGTCATGATCCCAGGGTCATGGATTGAGCCCTGTGCCAAACTTTATGCTGAGTGTGGAGCCCACTTAAAATTCTCTCTAACCTCTGCCCCTCTCCCCAACTCATGCTCTCTCTCTCTCTCTCTCTCAAATAAAAATAAAAATGATAAACGTTAACAGCTTATTAATTTAAAAATGAAATGTGAAAGACCTATTTGAAGTTAAATCTATCACACCTCTCTCTCTGACACACACACACACACACACACACACACATACTTCAATCAAGGAATACATTTTTTATTAGAATTGCTTTTACAAGCTTTAAGATGAACTATATACGTGCTTTTCCTGTACCGCATGACTAATTTTGCAAGCTGGTTAACTTCAACTAATTTGTTTTCAGTTGAGTACGATATACAGCACAATTGCTAATTTTTTTACTTCGAATTGGCTTAGAAATATACAAAATGTAAGATTTCATTCATAAAAACAATATCATGCAATCACATTCTCTGAATATAGGAAAGTACCTCTAAGACCCACAAACTGATACTTGCTGCTATTTGCACTCACCTGACGCAGCAGCTTCATGTCCCTCAAGACAAAGGCAATGTAGAAGAGCGAGGCAAAGCAATTCAGAAAGTTGAACTGCCAAAAAAAAAAAAGAAAGCAGTATTTCACACTGCTTTGTGGCACTTTGTTACAGCTGTAAATACAGCATTAAAAACACAGTGAGGGGCTTCCGGTCCTCACGAGATAGCACAGACTGGATTCTCCTGCTCCTCCTCACCGAGCACACCCACAAACTCTGGAAACAGGAGAACTCTGACAGGGGCCAGGAGCTGGGAAAGCAAACTGGTTTGGGACCCCTGGCCTAAGGGAACAGTGGAGCACCAACTCATTTCTTCTACATTCTAGCAGAAGAGGGAAAGCAAGGCCCAGCCTTTCCCACCCCCGACCAGCAGGCCAAAAAGCCTGGGTGGGCTCACTGCCTGCCCAGCTCACCTCCCTCCCCACCCTGTTCACGTGAGAAGCCCTGCAGACTTGGCAAGGGGGTCTCTCCAGACTCCTCCCTGACACCAAGCTCCCAGAGGAAGTGCTTTCTGCCCTGCAAGGCCCGGAGCCCCACGGAGAGACACCAGCATTCTGAACGCCAGTCATCCGCAGCGCTACCAAGAGGCCTTCAAAGACTTTTTAGGTACGTATGGCTGCTTGCCCCCTTTCTAATGTCCAAACTGCTAAACTGTTCAATTTTTATTACTTATTTATAAAAAAAAATGTTCTATTTCCTTTCCACGCTCGCCTCTATAAATAAACCTACTTCCATAAGCCTAAACACCTTCTGATCAGTGGTTTCTGATCTCCTAAGGCCTGAACAACCAGATAACAAGCTTCTTAGAATGATTTCTTAGCTGGAACAAAGACTCTTCTCTTGGGAACCCTTCCTTGGACTGTGCTCCAGCTGAGAGTTCAGAGGACTCTCTCTGCACCTTTCTTGATCCTCAGGGCTGAGGTGAGCACCTGATAAATGAAGTGGCTCCAAGCTGGTATTTCTTTTATAACAAAAATGGAAAAAGGCGTAATGTGTGGGCTTTTACACAAACAGCAAGCAAGTTACACTATGCCTTCTCTCCATTACTTTCCTCCCACCCACCAAAAAGTGCTGGTGTTTAGGTTTAGAAATTTCTTTCCAAAATTTAAAAAAAAAAAAAATGTAATGGTCCATCACTAAACAGACTGTGGGCAACTGAAAGAATTGTTAAATACTGAAACAAAGAAGTCACCAAAGGGTAAAGGACAGAAACATGTCTGTAATGTGCTTAATTGTATTTTTAAATAAATAGAAATAGGCTATGCTACTAATTTCTATACTTGAAGTCTTATACCATGTATACATTTATAGTAAGACTGTTGAACATATATGTAAACACACTTAATCAGTCCTTGCCTACCTACACAAAATATAACTATCTGATACCTTAAATTAGAAGCCAGTTTTCATATTTCTAAGTATTAACCAGTATACATAAGTTTCATAATTCAAATGGATTTGTATATAAAAAGCTCTACTTACCACTAAAACTTTCAGAATTAGATGATTCTGGTAGGCAGATTCCAATCTGTGATTCTCTAAAATATGAAAAAGGAGAAGAAATTTCTCTGAGATAAGAAAGCACTATGGGAGGCTGTCGTGGGGCAAATGTGCTGAGGCAGAGATGTCAGGCAACGGAGCCTCAGTGAGTAAACGTGCCACACTGTCAAACATGGCTACCACTTATCCACAAGAACATCACATGGCAAGAAACTAAGATTAGGATACATTTTCCACAGAGCGCTGTGTTCTGAAATTGTTCTTTATTTTCTTTGAAATGTTTATTTATTTATTTCTGAGAGAGAGAGAGAAAGAGAGAGAGAGAGCTGGAGAGAGAAAGAATCCCAAGCAGGCTCTATGCCATCAGCACAGAGCCTGATGCAGGGCTCAAACTCACAAACCGCGAGATCATGACCTGAGCTAAAATCAAGGGTCAGATATTTAACCAACTGAGCCACCCAGGCACCCCAGAAATTATTTTGAAAGTATTACTGCAACAAAGAAATATGGGAAGTATTGGCAAATGATCCCATAGACTGCCACCCAGAAAAGACCCTGAATAAGTGGTCACAGTAGAACTGATAGCAACCTCTAACAAGGGCAATAAAGTGTCTGTACACGTGCCTTACAAGGATTAACTTATGGGGCAACTCAAGATTCCGTCCTGAGCTGGGGAAAGGAGCCACAGCACTGGCCCTAACACAGCAGGGCAAAAAGACAAAGAACATTCTGAAGAGAAGTGTCACCCTGCAGAGAGGCGGTGTTAGGCTCGCCTGTACTGGAAGCCCAACTCAGCTATTCAGCCACTGTCTGTCCTTGGGCAAGTCACTTCACCTCCTGGTACCGAACCTCCTCGCCTACATAACAGGCCTATGCCCCCTTCTCCCAGGGTATAATACATAATACAAAACCTTAATCCAGTAACAGCACAAGGAAAGGACTCAATAAATGGTAGTTGTTACATGACTGATACAAGTAATTTAGAACATCTTTATGGTCCTGTGAAGTTAAGGCACAGACTCCTTCATAGGAAATCACATTGCATATTTCCTTGATTGAGTGAATAAATAAAGGGAGAATGGTCTATCAAGAGCATTTTTAAACTATGACCAGTTCCTTTTACCACAGAAACATACTACCTGCTACACGAGTACTGCTACACGAAGGCCAGTGGGAATCCTTGGTGTCCTAACCAACTAAACCACCGGTTTCCAGATACCAGATGTTGTTCATTTGGCCAAAGTATCTGAAGATAACTCAATCTGCTTTCCCCTCAACAGAAAATACAAAATTACGGCCTTGGGAATCACAGGTTTTGGACACAGAGTCTGGGTTAGCCTGGCTCTACAGGCTGTCTGAATCCTGCTAAACTCTCTGTGTCTTCATCTCAAGATGGTGAAATAACTTCCATTTCACAGTGTCCTGAGGAGGTGAAGACGAGATGCCACGGACAAAGAGTTGGCGGGGCACCTGGAGGGCGGGGACCGACACTCTGTGAGCGTCACGATAACCAGGAGCCGAGAGCGTCAGAGCCCACGGCACCCGTGAACTCCCCCCAGGTCTCCACACTGCACTCAGAGCAACACCTCCCCGCTTTGCCGAGTAGCAGTGACAGGAATCCTAGGACCCCAGCAACAGTTCCGACGGGCAAGTAAGACATAAACACAAGCATCAAGTCTTACCCCATGAAGTCAGAAACTCAGCAGCATAGCGATAGAGGCGGTTCATGATCTCAATCACGACGGCGTAGATGATGCTGGGCACATACAACAGGACGCTGGTCCACTCAGATCCACTATTCTCGTGCAGACTCAAGGCCCAGGCCTCCATGTCGAAGTAAATCATCATGACATACAGAGAGAAATAGAGGCAGAGGCACACGAATGGCAGAGAGACCAGGTAAATGCGCAGCTGCCTCTTGTAGCTGGAGTAGAGAGGCTCCTTCCTGCCGGTGAAGGGATTGATGCCCAGGACCCCGTGGAAGCCCGGCCGGGGCTCCTCAAACTGTCTCTTCATGACGAGCGTCCCCCACCTGTAGGTCATGGTGGCACAGCCACGCTTCCACACTTCCAGGATCACGGTGGACCAGATGAGGTTGAAGGAGGCGAAGACCACGTACTTGTCATAGTCTTCCCACACAAACAGGTAGTAAGGTAACCCAATGACCGCCATGGGGATTAAGGCAACAGTGAAATATTCCAAAAAGCCAAAGTAAAGAGCGATGGTTTCCCCGAAGTAGCCACGAATATGGTCTACAATAAAAAGGAAGGAAAAAAAAGACCTTGAGCACAGACTACCAAAGACATTCACCAATTATTGTTTTAGTTCAGTGCGGATCATTTAATGCCCTCATCTCTCCATCAGCGCGCGATGGTCAATCCACCTTCCGTGCAATACGAAGACCCCACTCATCTGGATGGCAAGCCTGCGACTTTCCCCAGCTTAGAGCCCAGGCCACAGCTGCTGGGGCTGCTCTGACGGGCACCCTGGGTCTGCCTTCCCTTTGCCTCCTGATCTGATGGACGCCTTCTTCCCGAAGGAAACCCCACCTCCGGGCTTGTCCCAAATCTCCAGCGTCCTGGTTTAAATCCAGCCATAGCCAATGAACCATTTTAATTTGGGGCTTTAAATGTATGCTCCCCACCTTTCTCCCACTTTATTATCACAGCTACAGATGTTCTTTTCAAAGACTCCCCATCCACAGTCTCTGCTCCCACTATCCAAAAATATAAATTTTCATCAGTATATCATGGCAGACTTTTCAGCATGCTGCAGAAAAGTTACTCAAAAGCACAATAGTCTACACACTAACTTCTAGAACAGCCATGGGACACGTGTACCTATTACCTTCACACAAGCACTGCGCAAAAGAAGGGACACACATCACTGTTAATACTCTGTGAACTCGACACGAGCTGACTCAAAAGGGGTCGCGGACACTACTGTCCTTTGCCAGCCACATCTACTGGAGTGAGTGCCAGGGTTGCAAAGGCATCCTGCACTGGGACCAGGGTGGGATGTGGGGGCTGAGGTGGTGCAGTAACAGGGCCGTTATGACTTGGTTAATTGCATGCGATTAAAACCTCAGTCAATGCAGGTGGGTCAGAATAAACCGGGAGAAGCTACTTTCCCCTATCCTTATTATTCTAACTAACGCAGTAACATGTTAAAATAATCAGTCTGATCAGGCCACCTCTAATCTGAATCAGGTTAAAGGACAGCCAAACAATGGGGGCGGAGGAGGTGCTCATGCTCCCAGGCTCCAAATCACATGACCTCCATCTCCAGATCTTAAGGGGAAGGTCGAGATTCACCCATGCCCCAGTTGCTTGCCCAGTCCCGGCACACTCCCCAAAACTTCACACCCTCACACCCACAACAGTGCTCAGCCTTCACCATCCACTCACGTGTCTCTTCACTTGCTAAGTAAGCCACCGGATACTGTTACTCACAAGTCCTGGAGGCAATACTTAATGCACCCAAATGCCACACACAGTGAAAAAATATCATGAAGTGTAACACAAAACAACTAGTATATTACCTAGAACTATCAGAAACAAACTTTCCCTTTCAAAGAATACAAGAAAAAATTCAAAATGCAATTTCACAAATTTTAAAAACAAAGTTTTGGTCACTGTTACAATATTATAGTAGCTGCTTTCAGGAATGGAAATCAGAACTAAAATTATTTTAGAGGGATTCCTTTAAACAGAGTCAAAGAGAAATGTCCTTTAAGAAAAACTGATAGCAATGCTTACGGTAAAATCTACCAACTTAATATAATCCTTATGCTGAAAAAACAGAACTAAACCAAAAAGTGTGAACATCCACATTGATGTCGGTTTACACACAGTAATGCTCAACATATACCAAATAAACTAATGGATACTCTTACAACTGTATTCAGAGAAAATGGGTAGATTCAGTAATACACACCAAGATGCCTGCAAACCTACCTCAGAAGATGTGTAGGCATGCTGGTCTGCCCCTAAGAATGAGCACAGCTCTAATGATCAGCTCTAAAGCAAGAGAAATTTTCATATACAAAATAGTCATAGTCACATGAGGTTCTTAGAAAGTCTGTTCTATTTCCAACTCTGACATGTACTTATGAAGGCCACTCTGAATTGCCTGTGTTCTTGGTGAAACTGAGGGAGAGCTTGTAATTCAGTCCATCTGAAATGGTACTGGAAATGAATTACTCAACAGGTCCTGTAAACCTCTTCTCTGACACCGATTTTTGCCCACACGCAGTTGGTGAGCCTCACCCAGCAAAACGTTCAACATCTACCCAAGAGAGAAAACACCACGGTTGAATCGTGACCTCTCGTTCGCAGTTCTTCCTCCACGAAGAGAACGCGCGTGGACACGTACCTATGGGCTGATACTTAAAGGTAAACCGCGTGTACCAGGTGTCCTCAAGCTTCTTCAAGGCTTCATTGTCGTGCAGTGGAAACACCTGAATCACGATGCCGGAGGTGAGCAACCTTCTCACTGCGAAGGGAAAACAGGCCAAGCTGGATAAAATGGGTCTGAGGTTGCTCAGGATATGACATGCTTTTTCAAATGCTGTGAAGACAGCCCAGGAAGGAAGGAGTGCTACACAAAGATCAGTGTCATTTACACTCCCTATTACTCCGAAGGCATATATTCTTTTCTTCTTCACAATGTAAATATCTTGACTATTTTAACTAGGAAAGCAATACAAGTTTATGTCAAATTTAAATCCATACAGAAATGTACAAAGGAGAACTGGAAAGGCCCCAGTTATTCTCTTCCTCCCACAAAAATAACCAGGTAAATAGCAATTTCATGCAATATCAGACTTGAAAACATACACCCATAAAGTTGGACCATTCTACACACACTGCTCTGTAATCTTTTCTCACAGAGTACTGTGTAATACATGGTTTTCAATGCCAATACCTGTGAATATGAAATGTCCTTTTTAACGGTATTATAATATTCCCTTCTATGAGATGCTGTGATTTAATCTTCTATTGAAAAATACTTGTTTCCCTCCTTTTTTCCTTTGCTATTATAAATGTTAAAATTGTTATACACATATCTTTTCACACCTGCCCACTATTTTCTAACGTACATTTAGAAGTAGAATTGCTGGGTCCAAGAGCACATGTATTTTCAATGTAATCATCTACTATAAAACTGCCCCTAGAAAAACTTTACCAATCTGTCCCTCCCACCAAAGTGAAGGTAAGACAATAATCAGCTCCTTTCATTCTTGTTGACCCTGAGTTTTTGCAAGATCATTTTCATCCTTTCTAATCTGATAACAAAAGCTTATGTTTACAAAGGGCAAATGTCAAAATCAAATAAAATCATACTTTCATCGGTCAGTTGACTGGTATGATTGGATCCACTCTCGCACATGTTTGAAAAGGGCAAGTGAATTTAATCAAAGACAATACCCCCTGGTCATAATAAATGAAAGCAGGGCATTCTCTCATCCATATACTCAGAGTGACTCATGGGGTGGGTGGCTCTTCAGGTCTTAACAGGAAGTGTGTTCAGCAGACCTGGGGACTCTGATGCAAAGCCTTGTGCGTATGCGGGGAGATGGAGTACTTTGCACACAAGTTCCTGGTAGAATCTCTAACTAAAGAATACAGCTGGCTCTAAGGCGGGGTTTGCAGAAAGGAAAGATGCTTTGCTGTTTTCACCCAGTGACAAGCTTTGAGCTCTTTGACGTTTATCAGCTCACCTCTCCCACGGGCTGCCTCCCTTACGTGCTATCTACCTTGTCACCAGGACTAGTGAGGAGCCTACGAGGTAACAGGCCCCTCAAGGAGGAGGGCAAAAGAGCGTCCACAACATGGGGCGTGGAGGGAACAGAAACAAAAACAAAACCAAAAACCTGTGTTGTTCTTTTTCGTGTTGAAATACCACATATAACCAAGAGAAAGAATATTCTCAAGACAGATGCCCTATCATAAAATCTCCAGAGTAATCTGAAAGTAAAGCTAATTTCTTAGAGATGAACAAAGAATGCTAAACAGGAGACGTGTGACACCAAAACAGGAAAAAGTCTGGGTCTGAAAGAAAAATTCTTAATAGACAGGGTTGTGATGAAATCTTTACTGACTAAAAAAGGCATACACTCAGAATATGCACAGACACATTAATTAGGGGGAAAGCTACCCGGTTTAACTTATATTAGCCACTGGGGCTATCAAATCCATTTTTTAATATTTTGATTCTGAAGTGTTTCAGAGGATTTTTCTTCAGCTCACATGAAGTCAGTCACCCACAATGGTTCTGATCCGTATCTCTTATTTGAGCATGCACAATTGTACCTGATTCTCTCTTCCATTACGGTCCTTTGCAATTACTACATCAAGTTATTCAACTGTGAACTGACAACATCTAAGTCTATGCCTAAGTTCTTTTTACAAAACTGACTGCATTCTACTACAGATGACTCTCTAAGCAGGCATAAAAACCAGCTACTTCTAAAAATAGGACCGTGAACTGAAGGACCCAGAGAGAATATAAAGCTTCATGTCCTAAATTACCAGGCTTCTCTTTGCCATCAATGCCAAAAGCATGGTTCCAATTTCAGCTTCTAAAAATAGAGGTTTTTCTTTTAATCCTTTAACTTTCTCTTGTCAGCTAAGAATGTAATTAAAATGACCCTTACCTTCAGAGGAAACATGATGCTGTGCAGGCCTATTTAAAGAAAGAAGCTACTGCTTCCCAGGAGGACCAAGATGGCAGACTGGAGGACCCTGAGCTCACCTCTTCCCAGACTCTCCAAGACTACAATTACATACAGAACAACTCTCTCTGAGAACGACCTGAACACCGGCACGGATCTTCTCTAGCTATAAAGAAAAAATCACATCAAGAAGGGTAGGAGGGGCAGGGAAGTGGTGTGATCAGGACCCACGCCCCCAGCATGGCACCCCGTAAGTGGGAGAGAGATCACAGGCAGGGAGGTCCTCCCTGAGGAGTGAGGGGGTCAAGCCCCACATGGGGCAAACTGGCAGTGAGGACCAGCACTGGGAAGGTGGACCCCCAAAATGTCTGGCCTTGAAAATTAGCAGGGCTTAATCCTGAGAGAGCCAGAGGCTTTTAGGAAAGCGAGATTCCACTCTTAAAGATGCAGGCACGTACTCGCTCCAAGACCCAGTGCAGAAGCAGCAGTCTGAAAAGCCCATGGGCCATACAGGAAGGAGATGTGGTGCCTAACTGTAAGGCATGTGCCAGAGGTGCAGGGGACCGCAGGAACCTTCTCCGTGAATGAAGCAGTGCCAGGTGCCTAGTACTGGGGAGAAACCGTTCTTTTTTAGTTATAATTTTTGAGAGAAAGAGAAGGCATGAGCAGAGGAGGGGCAGAGAGAAAGGAAGACAGAAAATCCCAAGCAGGCTCTGCACTGTCAACGCAGAGCCCAATGCAGGGCTCAAACCCACAAACAGTGGGATCATGATCTGAACCGAAATCAAGAGTCAGATGCTTAACCCACTAAGCCATGCAGGTGCCCTGAAAAACAGTTCTGGTTCTCCATCTACCACGCTAGCACTGCTGGCCTTACCCGCATATTCCCCTGCAGACCTGCCCCACTCAACCCTCCCCACCCTGGCAGGCACCCTCCCAAAGTGGCTCCCACCTTACCACACTCACAGGCCACCTCCGCCTTAACTGTCACTCCCCTAAAGGGGCTCCCACCCACCATGGGCCCACAACAGTTGCAGCTCAGCCCAAACAGGAAGGAACACACACAGGACACCACTAGAGCTCCGGATTCTGGTGACCAGTGGGAGAATGCACTTCTAGGCCCCACAATGCATCTGCTACAGAAGGCCTCTCGTGCAAGACCAGGAATGTGGCTGATCTACCTTTTACACACAAGCAAAAACAGAGAGGCAAGATGAGAAGACAGAGGACTATGTTCCAAATGAAAGAACATGACAAAACCTCAGAAAATGCAGTGAAAAAGAGATAAACAATCTACCTGATAAAGAGTTCAAAGTAATGGTCATGAAGATGCTCACTAAACTCAGGTGAAGAATCGATGAACACAGCAAGAACCTCAAGAGAAAACACACACACACACACGCACACACACACACACACACACACGTGCACACACACACACACAAAGAGAACCAGAGCCAAAGAATGTAATAATGGAGTTGAAAAATACACTAGAGGGATTAGATGATACAGAAAAATGGATCAGCGATATGGAAAACAGGGTAATGGAAATGACTCTAGCTGAATGGCAAAAATTAGAAAGAATTTCAAAAGCTGAGGATAGTTTAAGAGACTTTCAGGACCTTAAGATCAAGGGTACTACCATTTGCATTACAGAGGTCCCAGAAAGAAAAAAGAAAGAGAAAGGGGCAGAAAACTTATTTAAAGAAGTTAGAGCTGAAAACATCCCTAACCTGGGCAAGAAAACAGACATCCAAGTACAAAAATGAAAGAGAGCCCCAAACAAGATGAACCCAAAGAGGTCCATACCAAGACACAAAATAAATTAAATGTCAAAAATTAAAGAGAAAATATGAAAAGCCGCAGGAGATAAGCAACTAGTTACATACATGGGAACACCCATAATATGATCAGTTGATTTTTCAGCAAACTTCGCAGGTCAGAAGGGAGTGGCACAACACATTCAAAGTGCTGAAAGGAAAAAACCCACGAAGAGAAACACTCTCCCTAGCAAGGTTATCATTCAGAATTGAAGTAGAGATAAAGAGTCTTCCCACACAAAAGAGTTCACCACTAAACCAGCTTTATGGGAAATGTTAAAGGGACTTCTTTCAGTAGGAAAGAAAAGGATCTAACTAGAAGAAAATTTTGAAAGAAAAAAATCTAACTGTAACAGCAAACGTATAGTAGAGGTGGTAGACTAACTGCTTACAAAGATAGTATGAAGGTTAAGAGACAAAAGTAGTAAAGTAAATTATATCTATGACAGTTAAGAGATATACAAGATAAAGAGATGCAAAATATGATGTCAAAATATAAAACAGGGAGAGTTGAGAGTAAAACTGTAGTGTTTTTAGAAACTGTTCAAACTTAAGCAACTATCAACTTAAAACAGACTACTAGAGACATAGAGTGTTATATGTGAACCTCATGGTAATCACAAACCAAAAACCTATAATAGATACACAAAAAATAAAAAGGAATTCAAACATAGCACTAAAGAAAGTCATCAAATCACAAGGGAGGGAAGGAAAAGAAGAAGGAACACAGAAGAACTACAAAAACAACCAAAAACAATTAACAAAATGGCAGTAAGTACATACCTATCAATCATTAATTTAAATATAAACGGGTTAAGTGTTCTACAGGTATCCAAAAGACATAGGGTGACTGAATGGGTAAATAAATAAGACCCATCTTTATGCTATCTAAAAGAGACTCACTTCAGACCTAAAGACACATAGAGACTAAAAGTAAAGTGATGAGAAAAGATATTCCATGAAAATAAAAAGGAAAAGAAAGCCAGGGTAGCAATATT